ATAAGTAATCGAGTATACTGAAGATTCTTTTTATGAAATAATATATAGTCGAGACTAGGAAGGTTTTCGTCTTCCCGATGCGTAATTCCAGGACGAAGAGGTAAGATAATGCAAATGAAAATGAGAGATAACGAATTGTGCATATATCATCTCATACGTATAAGAAGTATTATAGTACGTATAGAGATCGTATGGCATGAGGCTCTTTACCGAAAACGAATTCGGTTTTACTTTTGGCCGTGTCTCCTGTCCGGTCGTAGAACGGTACCTGGCGCACCTGTACACGCATAGACGCGCGCATAGTGGCCCACGTGTGGACGACGTCCTCGCGCACTCACGGTTTTACGACCGTTTAGTCGTCGTACCTATACGGTACCTTGGTACACACACTGCTATGTACAGTTAGGCGAGTAATGCGGTTTGGTTTCGATGGCAGAACGTGCCACTCTACAGGAACGGATCGAGCATTATGTTATTGTGTTCAATATTACGGCGGTCGTTATTTTAATCTCTTTGACAAAATACAATTCAATCTAATCGATATATACTTGGTTGTAGGTATTAAAGTATCGTGTGTGATTCGAACAAACGCGTATCTTCTCGCGAGATTAAAGTTGTTGATTTGTACGAAGAATCAGAAGAAGAACAAGAAGTAGAAGAGAAACATTAAAAAAACACACACACACAGACACAAGAAAAGAAGAAGAAGAAAACAAATAAAAATCAAATAAGGAAGATATAGAAGGAAGAAAAACATTGAAGAAGATCCGCCCCTGGAAGGCTTGTACACACGACAAGCGCAAGAACGCGTAGGTAGGTGTAAAAGGGGATCCCCTATGGGGGTATCGGAACCTCGTTACTCAGCGCACCATGCCTATGGTGTGGTCCAAGTCCAAGTCCAAGTAGACCTCCAAGTGGGACAACGACCGGTAGAGACCTTCTTTCGGATCCGTGGCGAGAGAATGGAAGAAGGTGCTGCGAACGTCGTCGCAGTGAACGAGGAGAAAGAAGGACGAAGCGGTAGGAGAGGGCTCGTAGAACGCTACTTTGGAAGGGGGAATCGCGGACTCACTTCGCTAATTCACTTGCTTCTCGCTTTTCCGGTTTACATTTCGCTACCAGCAAAAGAGTACGACGGCCTTTAAAGCAACGCAATTCACCAAGAAGATGGTTGTTACCGACTCCCTTTGCTTCTAACTTCTTTTATTTTCTCCTAACCCCCCCCCCCCACCACCACCCACCTCAATTTCTAACGAACACGTTACTATTATTTCCTTAATTATCATTTTTTTGGTCTCGTAGACCTATACGTACCCTCAGCAACAATTTTTTTTTAGTTCGATCTTACGAGTTAAATTTGTCGCATTTTCGTCTGACTAAAATAAATTTGGTAGCAAAGGAAAGGAAACAAAAAAAAAGAAAAAACTTAACCAAAACGCGTCTAGGTTTCTTTGCCAACACGTCTGGCTTGGTACGAGGTCGATAACACTCGTAGCTTCGAACCGGAACAACGTTGATGCATTTGACCTTCTTCTAGAAATTGTTAAGGCCGTCGTCGTACGTTTCACTTTGGACTAACAACGTTTCCGTCGCTAAAATTATCTTCGACTTTGATGGTTCTAATATACGAGAACAACCATTTAGAAATATATTCAATTCAAATAAGGAAGTATATTAATATTTACTATCTATACTACTTATACGTATATATTTAACTTGTTCGTACGAGAAATTGAGATATATTTTTAGTTAAGGAAGGGAATACGCGAAAAGAGAATAAAATAAATAAAATAAGATTCGTTTGAAATCTATCTAGTGTTAAGAAATAACGTAGAAAATGACGATCTTCTTAGATCTGCCGGTTCTTCGAGAAGAGAAAAGATCATCGACCCCGAAGTAACGTATCTGGGTTAGTAGTCGTCGAGTGTCGATTCGCGCGAAAACTTCTTTCTTTCGCTAGGGGAAATGAAGGATTCCCTGATGTGAGTAGTCGTGAAAATCGAGAAGAAAGGTTAACGATCTCAACTCGTCATCATCGTTTTATCCATTGTGCCATCGTTGTTGTCGTTGTTGCATCGTTCTCGTTTCTTCGTATTGTCCAAACAAAATTTGCCATTAGTCGTTGGAATCAGGTGGTCCTAGAATAAAAATATTTTGTTCGCGTAACTTTACGCGGATAAGATCGAGACCGGTCTTTGGGATTAAAATCGAGAGAACGTCAGCAGTTCTTCGTGTACACTTCTTCTCTATGATTCGCGCGGTTCGTCGACCTTCCTTTCTCTCATCTACGACTAAGCTTTTATAATTCTTACTTGAAACTGATGGGAACACCCCCTCCCCGCGCGCGTAAAGTGTAAGATGTAAAATAATAAAAAATAAATTATTACAAAGAAAATAAGTAAAAAAAAATGAAATATCAAGAAAACATCTATAACATTATCAAATATGTGTCTTTAACCAAAGAGAACGGAAGGGGTTACTGATCTTGAACGACCGTGACTTTGGTGTTCGCTGAACCGATCCCCTTACAAGATATACCAAGTGAAGTTGAACATAATAAACGATCACTTTACATTCAAGTTCAATGATTTTTCATTTAAAAATGATATTTGCAGTAAAACAAAATTGCAGTAAAATAATATAAAACAAAAGGAAACAACACGTCACGATTTTGTACACTTTTCAGGGCGAGCGGTAATAGGTACGTTTACGAAGGACGAAAAAAAGGTTACGCATACGTTAACAGAAAAAAGACTCGAATCGATTTCCATTGGATTTATGCGCGAACAGTGGGAAAGAATCGGAAACTACGTTGCACCTACCTAGGCAAATTTATAAAACGTTAGAATATTCGTGAAAATAAATAAAAAGAAAAAGAATAAAATAATATGAACAACGAAATATCGGGAAGATATTATTCAAGTGAACGAACGATAAATTAACGAATTTAATAATATACTAATCGAACGGATATAATATGATATCGTTAAAGAAAACGACAATACCATAAATCAAAATTACGATTAATTAATTAAACGATCCATCTGAAAATATCTTCGTTAACAAAGTTGATTCGCAAGGAAAGGGTATTACCACTTTCGCCGTCATTTTTAGTCGACTACTGCCGGTGCTTATTATTATATATCCGGAAATTGTCGAAACAATTAAACTTAGAAGCGATCGGCGCATGCACCTTGCAACGAAACAACAGAGAAGGAGATAGAAAGAGAGACAGACAGACAGACAGAAAGAGAGAAAGAGAGAGAAAGGGAGACAAAAGGGAGAGAGAAAGAGAGACGCGTTTGTACTCGTTGGAGTAGGTGAAGGGGTTGAAACGGGTAACGAGAACGGGAATCGAGACTGGAGGGAGAAAGTTGCGCGAGGGTGCGAGGTGGAAATGCAGAAGAGGGTGAGGGGATGAGAGTCGAGGTGAAGGAAGAATAAAGAGAGAGAGAGAGAGAGAAAGAGGAAAGCTGGGAGCGGGTCGATCGAAAGCGCAGCGCAGAGAAATGCACCACCTCTGGCTCTTCTCTGGCAGCTTTACTCGACACACACACACACACACACCGGCGCAACGCGTATGAGAAACAAGGAGAGCGATATAGAGAGAAAGAGAGAGAGAGAGAGAGACAGACAGAGAGGTAGAGAGAGAGAGACAGAAGAACGACCAATAGTAAGTGAGTGGCAGGGGAGGAAAGCAGGGGAGAAAGGAAGGAAGGAAGGGTGGAAGGGAGGAAGGGAGGACTCGGCAAGCGGACTCGCGTTGGGCTAGGTCAGGTCTAACCGAGTTCCACGCACACCGCTCTCTCTCTCTCTCCCTGGTATCCGCGAGAGTTGAGCAAACGGAGACCGTCCTTTTCCACGTCTCCTACGAGAATAACATGGAACAACTCGCGAATAATCTCTCTCGCGTAAACGATTTTAATCGGTTTTCAAAATTTCAATAAGGAAGGATTTCAAAGCGAATATAATAGAAGAGAATAAATCGAACAAACGTGTGAATATCGCGTACTACCCTTCCAACTTCGGACGTTGAAAATTCGAAGCTCCGAAACGATCGATCCTACGAGCCGTCCTCCGAGCAATTTCCGCGGCGCGCAACGCGGAAAATTCTACGCCTCTTCTTTTGCGTGTTTTCGGTAAAAATATAAAAAATATACAAGAAAAAAAAACTCTTTGGAAAAAAATTGAGAGAAAGAGAGAGAAAGAGGTTTCTCGCACGAAAAGGGGACAACATTTTTGTCCGGGGAATCATATTCGGTAAAACATATTTATCCCGATCATCGGATAGTAATACCTCGAGGGACGTAAGGCATCATATCGATAGGGTGACAAGAAAAAGGGAAAGGGTGTAACGAAAATATAGTAGGGGTGGAAGTGCGTGAAAGTGTGTTTTAACTCGGCCGTTCTCTATTATTCTTTTCTCTCTTCTTTTATTTTTCTTTTTTCCTTTTCCTTTCTTTTTTCTTCTTTTCTCTCTCTCTCTTTCTCTTCTCTATCGAATAATAAAATAAACCCGGAAAATAAATTATTGGGTAAGAAACTAGATGTTTGCATTGTGTTTATCGACGGGTTGTTCGTTGTTGTGACGGTGGTGGTGGTGGTGGTGTTGGTGGTAGTAGTGTTAGTGATTTTCAAGATAGAAAAGATACAAAGTTAGATAGAATCGTGAAAATCCAACGATCTATAAGAAAGCACAGAAAAAGAAGAATAAAAAGAAGAAGAGGAAAGTAAAGGAGATCTCGAGGAGGACTCTGATTCTTGTCGTGCGGTGCTTGTTGATAAACAGCATAGAGAAGGAAAGAGAAAGAGAAAGAGAGAGAGAGAGAGAGAAACATCGTGGATGTTCCTGCGCGAGGACAGCTCGAGTCCATTGCAATTTCCCTTTTCCGATGTCCTGATAATCGATAACTCCCGCGTGCGTGTCTCTGTTGCGTACGTGTGTGTGTCTGCTTGCTGCGTGCGTGCGTGCATCCCGTGCATTCGTACGAAAGAACGAACGAACGAACCAACGAACGAACGAACGAACGAACGAATGAGCGAGCCTGCCGAAAAGTAGAAAAAAAAAGGGAAATACCCACCAGCCCTCTCTCTACCCTCCTCCCCCTACCCACCCCCCCGGCAAACAAATAAAAACGTCGAAGAGTAGAGAACGACGACGAGGGGTTGGACGCGATTGTTGTTGCGTCGTAGTAACGATCGATTCGTAATTCGTGATCGATTTACCACGAACGAGTTGACAAATAAATGTTGACGTTAACGAACAAGGCAAGGTTAGCCGGTGCGATCGTGCGAGGCACCCCCATACGCAAAAATCAAAGCAATTCTTTCTATTTTCTGATATTACTCGAGATGCCGATTTCTTTAAGAAATCATAGAATCACGTAAGAGAAACCGAAAGATAGGAGAGAGAGAGAGAGAACAAAAATATCCTTATTCCTCTCCTTTCGCTCGTATAGAAAAAAGAAAGAGAAAGAAAGAAAGAAAGAAAGGAGGAGTAGGAAGAGGAATAGTAGAAGGAGGAGGGAAAGGTGGTGGAGGAGGAGGAGGAAGAAGAAAGATCTTCGATTTGTGAGAATCGCTGTTAGGGAGAGGGGAAAAGATATAGAGAGAGAAAGAGAAAGAAGAACGGCCAAATCGCCGACGCCTTCGACGTTCGGCCAACAGATGCTCCAAAAAACGCGAGCCGTGAGTCACTAGAATAATTATTATACAATTTTCATCGATAAACTCTTTTTAATTATTATCCTTTTTCAAAAGTCAATAAGAGATATTTTCTTTTTCTGTCGCGCTAAAACAAAAAATAAATAAATAACACGCAATATCGAAGAATCTTACCGATTGTTGTTAAATCGTGTAAATCAACTACGAATGATATATTTCGGCTAAAGATTATATAGAAAGGAATGTCGCGAATGGTAGGAAGAAGAGGAGAAAGGCAAAGGTGCAGAGAGAGAGAGAGAGAAAGAGAGAGAGAGAGAGAAAGAGGCAGGAGGGGATTCTATGAACGTAGCGGTTCTTCGATTTAAAAGAGCGGTCATTGAACTCTCGCACGTGAGCTGAAAAAAGTCATTGAAAGAGAACCGTAAAGGGAATCGTCGATGGGGAATGTTGAAGCTACGTAGGCGTCGTGCGCGATTTTCGTGAAAATCAAAATTCAACGAGCGCCGAAAACCTCGACCGGTGGTGGTAGTAGTAGTGATGATGATGGTGGTGGTGGTGGTGGTGGTGGTGTTGTAGGTGGTGGCGGCGGCGATGGTGGTGGTGGTGGTGGTGGTGGTGGTGGTGGTGGTGGCGGCGGCGAGGATTGGACTTTAGAGTTTATGCTCCCACCCATCCCCATCCCCATTCCCATCCCCATCCCCATCCCCCTTTCGCCGCTGCAGTCGATCAATGCGTGGACGGGTTTCACTTTCGCGATGTTAAAGCGTTGCATCACCCACCACCAATCGAAAGCTTATAATAAAACACACGAAAAATAAAGAAACGAGGATACGTTCTTATAAGTTAGATAGATGATCATTCTCTCGTCATGATTTTGATCGATCGATTTTTTTTTCTTTTTTTTTTTTTTGTAAATTGTTCGTTTAAGGATCTCAATTTTTTCCCCCCTACCCTATTTTCCTGTTGTTTTTTTTCTTTTTGGCATTTTTTTCTCTTTATTAAAGTTATTTCGAGTGCATACAAGGATCATATGTCTTTTTTTGCGACAATTTTCGTTTATTATAGTCTATCAGTCGTCGTCTTATTCTTTTTTTGTTATTCGTCGTATTATCGTTCCGCTAATCTAATATTTGTAGGTGACAAATCTATTTTCGATCGAATATAAAACTATCTCAGATCTCGAATAATCAAATGATATCATTTTTAGTTTCAAACGAGAATGAGACAAACATTTTCGCGATGATCGATCACCATTCGACGTAATTGAAAATAAGTTTTTTTTTTTTTTAGTTCGAGAACTATCTATCTTTTCCAAAGGTGTGTGTGTTTTTTTTTTTCTTCTTCTTCTTCTTCTTCCTCTGGGATTATACGAAAGACCCATTTGAAAATCGCATCGTGAAATTCTATTAAAAAGTCTTAAATCCTTTAAGAACGTTTAAAGACCACTCGTTTTGCTATTTAAAAAAAGAATCACATCGATTTATATTAGAGGAAGAATTCTTTTTTTAACAAAAAATCCTTATCCAAGAAAATATCCCTACGGACGAGTGATTTTAATTATCCTTAGGTGGATTAGTTTCGTATTGGTATATTATATATACTTATACGTTACTCTAAAAAAAGAATTTTTATATCGAGCTAATTTAGTTATCGCGCTTAGCGCTGCTTAGAATCGTGTGACGTTTTAATAATGGCTTTGATAAAAAAAAAAAAAAAAAAGAAGAAAATCCGTGTCTCTCTTACGTTAGATAAATTTATTCTCAGAGAACTCGTCTCTGATATTTAAAAAAACCGTATTTCCACGTTTGATACGTTTTTACGTGACAAACAAAAGTAAATTCGTAACATCGATAATATTAATACGATTAGATACAATTTAAAACGATTTGTAACTGTTGACAATACTTTGTGTAGAAAATAAAAATAAAAATATTCATACGTAAAATAATTAAAAAAATATAATATCGTTAGGAAGACTAGTTAACAATTGATAAAGGAAATGTGTTGATTATAATATAGACACACGTGTCTATAAATATTAATAAGCTAATTAAATGTTATTATTTGCAGTAAAGGATGGAGGCCAGTGAATGGGATCACGCGACCTTGAGGGAGGAGGAATTCGAACAACATGCCGTATACTTGGTGCCGGATGTTACGGCATCGCCTAGCGATACCAATCGAGCGGAAGCTTCCTTGCCGAGGAACCTCGTACTCAAGCCCTCTCAAGCCCTCAACGATGTACGTTCATCCACGAAAGAATCCTTTCTCGAGACCTCCTCGGTGAGAGTCGCGAAACGATCGAACAACGCTATATTACAATTTACGATACGAATTTCATTATATTTTTTCTTCTAATTATTTGTATCTCTCGTTGTTGTGTCTCGTATTCCTCCAACCCCTAGCCCCAACCCCAGCCCCTAACCCCCATCCCAACCCTCCCCCCGTCACACCGCATCGAATAACTAAAGTCACCGAATCGATCGATTTTTGACCTTACTTCTGATCCCATGCTCGTAAATGTGTACACGAAAGGAAAGGGACACAGTATTTTATCAAACTCGATCGAGCATCACAAAGCTAATTAACTTGTAAAGTGTGATCATGGACCGAACGTAAGTGCATTTAAAGTTCACGTTTAAAACGTAACCGAGAGACTCGAGGAATATATAATATATCGTTCACAAAATGATATTATATTTCTTCATTTATTTCGATTTGCAAATTTGTTGTTTTTTTTTTTTCTTTTTTTTTGTTAAATATATTATACCACGGTGATTGTATCATAATCAAATTTTTATTCTTATCAATGGATTTTACTAATAAATGTATTATTGTATTCGCGATCGATGTGTTATAATTTTATAACAAATTATTTATATCATAGTATATGATTTAAATAGAACAAAAAAAAGTGACAAAAAGACGAGCATGGATTCGGATGAATAATTTTCATTAATATATAAATTCATATAACTCTTAATGAAAAATCAACATAACGGTAAAGAAATACAGTTTGAATAATCGTATATTTTTGTTAAATATATATGCATAGATGTTGGGTGTATGGAGTACAAGTTACATCCCAAAGGGCACGCGTTTTGGACCACTGGTGGGCCAGGTTTATACCAAGGATTCGGTGCCCGCTGACGCGAACAGAAAATACTTTTGGAGGGTAAGAATTGCATCGATTAGGAAACATCGTTCTTTTGTTTTTAAGAAACGTTCATATTTATCTTTGGATACGTGTCTAGAAAAGATAAAAAAATAGTAGAATAAAAAAAAAGGAAAAGTTGAAAACGCGCATACGTGTTCCTTACGAGATCGACGAACGAGGTGGGAAACCAAAGATGCTGTACGCGCGGATACACAGCCATGAGAAAGAGAGAGAAAAGACTAACAAGACCAGAAACTGGTTTTAACAGATCGAGCAACGCTTAAAATGAAAGCCACGAGAAGAACCATCGATGACTCGTAACTCATCAATTCGTTACGATGAACTTCAATTCCACGCAAACGACTCTTACGTTAACTTACAATTAGTAATATTTTCTAATTTCCTATTGGCAACTTGTTATTAAAACGTTAATCGGTTTGTTTTTTTTCGGGGGAGAGGGGAAAGACGGGGGGGGGGGAATCTGTCGGAAGAAACTGTGACGTGTCTGATAACTTGTTCATTTGCAATATTATTTCAAGAACGTTGATTACACGTATCCATTTAAATGATCGATAAATTAATGACGGTTTTCTTAAGTTGTCATGTTACGTAACAGTCAAATAATATAATCGCAATCTTTGCGAATTTTTCAGGTATACAAGAACAACGAGTTGTTCTACTACATCGATGGTTACGACGTTCAAAAGTCGAATTGGATGCGTTACGTAAACCCAGCTTACTCGTCCGAATCGCAAAATCTAATAGCGTGTCAATATAAGGTAAAACGTTATAAACGAATTTGGATATAATCTATAATGGAATAACATAGATTGATATTATATTATTTTTTATGTTACAGATGAACATTTATTTTTACACGATCAAGCCAATACTACCGAATCAAGAATTATTAGTGTGGTATTGTAGAGAGTTCGCGGAACGACTTAATTATCCGTTAACGGGTGAATTGATGCTACAAAGAATACGTAAGTTCAATTATCGGCTTTATCCTTTATCGATATTATATATTATTATTATTATTATCGTGATTTTTTGTCTTTCCTTTTTTTTTTCTCCCCTTTCGTTCCAAATTATTCTGGGGGAGACAGGTCAACAAGTACAGCAATCGGCATTACCAACGGAAATTTCGGCCAGCGTAGAAGTGGTATCACCGTTAAAGGATTCGTCGATTTACGAGAGACGTTCGCAAATGACGCCAACGGACGGTTCCGTGAGGTCTGACGAAGGTTACCATTCGAACGGTTACCACGACGAGATCTTGACCCCGCCTGAGGAGAGCAGCGAGTCCGATTCGGAGAACAACTACGTTCTCGACTTCAGCAAGAACTCAAAGTCCTCCGTGTGCAGCAACGAACCGTTAAAGCCAGACAACGTAGCCGCTAAGAACGAATACAGAAAGGTAAAGATCAAGATAACGAAGACGTACGGTAACTTTCAAGCCGGTACGAAGAACAATTTGGATGGTACAGCGAAGGAGAAAAATCCAGAGATCGCGAGCAGAGCGATGAGCCCGGAGATACAAAAGTCAGTGTCGCCTGTGATGCTTCAAAAAACAACCCTCCTGTCGATGGTAAGCGAGGACGAGACGGACAAAAATTCTAAACCGTTTTATGAGCAAGAGGTTAAAGTTAACGTACCTGCAACCGCGAGACCAGCCTACATAACGAGTCCTAGCAGTTCCATCCTCGAGAATATTCTATTACGAAGTACCACGGACAATAATAATAATAATAACAACAATAATAATCATCATCATCATCTTCATCATCATCAACAACAGCAACAGCAACAGCAGCAACAACTGCAACAACAACAACAACAGCAACAACAGCAGCAACAGCAGCAGCAACAACATCATCATCATCAACATCACCATCATCATCATCAACAACAGCAACAACAACAGCAACAGCAGCAGCATCAACAGCATCAGCATCAACAACAACATCAACAGCATCAGCATCATCAACAGAGCCATCATCAAAGTCACACGGCAGATTCGGTGACGCCACCACCCTCGAGCCCTACGGAGATGGCTTATTCTTACAAAAAGTCGCATCGTTACGGTAATATCTTACCGTGCAGTCCAGACTCCAGTTCGAATTTGCCGATGCAGACTGAATCCTGCGTAAACTCGACTACCAGTAACCACGGTCCCGTACCAATTCCAAGTCCAACCGGTGGACTTCACTCGAGCACGGGTAATCTTCATTCTAGTACGGGAACGAGCAACGGAAATGCAACGAGTCATATTGGGAATGTGCACTCGTCTAGCAGCCCAGGCGTTAACGCACATTCGAATAGCGGCGTGCTTTCCTCGAGTACGATCTTGACATCGTCCTCGAATGTTGCAAGCTCCTCCTGTCTTCCAAAGCGAAAAACGAAGAGCCCGTCTCCGGCAAATTCTCCACCATTGTGTCCCTCCTCGACACCGACGGTTTTATATTCGACCAATTCCGGAGGTTGTCAAATAGAGTCGAGTTCGGTCTATTCAAATTCGGCTGGTGGTAATAATGTCGGTGGTGGTGGTGGTAGTGGTAGTGGTGGTGGTGGTGGTGGTAGTGGCGGCGGTAGTAGTGTTGTGAGTGGTGGTTGTGGTAATGGTGTCGTTGGTAGTGTCGGTGCTTGTGGTAATGGTGGTGGTGGTGGTAATAGCAGTGGTGGTGTCGGTAGTGCCGGCAACAATCATCAAAACTCAGTTTCACCGATATCACCGATCCAATCACCTTCTTCCTATTCGTACGGTCTTTATCATCAGAATGGAACGCTTCATCACAACGCGACCCCTTTGTCGATCAACTGTACGGTTTATTCTCCAACCCCGAGCACGGGTAGCAATGGCAATCTCGTGTACGGCGAAAGAACGTCGGACGGTAGACGTCTGGATGTTCCGAGCAGCAGCCATCAACTTCCCACCTCGTCGACGACTATGCAAATCGACGGGAGTCAAGCTGGCCTGATCGCAGGAACGCACAATCTTCACCTCGGGCATCATCCTGGACTGACTATTCACGCGAATTCCTCTTCATCCGGGGCCCTAAATCACAGATACTCGCCGGCGAGTTCTCTCTCCCCGGACGATCATGGTTGCTCGCAGAGTGGCTCGCTCAGCCCTAACTCTCAGGGATCGAGGGGTTACAGGTCGTTGCCTTATCCGCTTAAGAAAAAGGACGGGAAGATGCACTACGAGTGCAATGTCTGCTGTAAGACCTTCGGACAGTTGTCGAATCTTAAAGTTCATCTGAGAACGCACTCCGGCGAGAGACCGTTCAAGTGCAACGTCTGCACCAAAAGCTTCACGCAACTGGCGCATCTGCAAAAACATCACCTCGTGCATACCGGTAATTCGATTATATTTTATCAAATTTGAAATCATCAACGAGATTACGTTTAATCTAATACCAACGATATGAAATATCTTTTATATTTTCGTTTTTCTTTTTTCCTTTTTTTTTTCCTTTGAACGTAGGCGAAAAACCTCATCAGTGCGAGATCTGCAAGAAGAGGTTCAGTTCTACCTCGAATCTAAAGACTCATCTCAGATTACACTCCGGCCAAAAGCCCTACGCTTGTGACCTATGTCCCGCGAAATTCACCCAATTCGTTCATTTGAAATTACACAAGAGACTACACACGAACGAGAGGCCTTACACCTGCCAAGGCTGCGACAAAAAATATATCAGTGCGAGTGGCTTGAGAACTCATTGGAAAACGACCAGTTGCAGGCCGAACAGTATCGAGGATGAACTCGCTTTAGCAGCTGCCGTTGGCTCGCCAACTTATTACGAATATGGTCCTGACATGAATGTTGGTAAGTAATAATATTATTCACATTCATCTCGAGAAAAGAGGAATTAGGATTTTCAGATTTATTCATCGATATAATATTTCAATCGGTTTACACGATTGTTGCAACTTATTCAAACAATTTTATTCGTCAAAATTACATTACAACGATGTAAACGCGTTGAATCGATGAAAAATTATTATATATATATTAAAATATTAATCAATCCTTTAATGAAAGATTTGAAAAGAAAATTGTGAAACGATTTTTTTAGGAACCATGCCGAAGGAATGCGAATTGGAACACATCGAAAACTATGAAAGGCACGGGTCGACGCACGGGCCCCACACGACGTCTCTTCACAATTTGGAGAACCCAGTGGCGAGGCCGAGCGTGATAGAAACCTCCCAGCCACACATAATCGAATGTACCTAAGGGACGGGGAGCAGACCCTTTTGCCCTGGCGCTAAATTCAGCCGTGGAAACGTAAACGAGATTCGGCTGACCGAGCTTGCTCCAGAGCAATACCTTTATCCCGAGTGGCAGTAAAGATAAATATGAAAGAGTGAGAAAAAGAAAGAGAAAAGAAAGAGAAAGAGAAAGAGAAAGAAACAAAGAGGGAGAGAGAGAGAGAGAGAAAGAAATGGTGTACCTTGTTTATTAAGACTCGTGTGCGAGATGCCTTAAGAACGTTCCATTTCGCGTAAGCGTTGTTTAAAAATACGCGCGACGAGTGAATGGAAATACTGGACCCTTTTCTCCATTCGTTGTTATCGATCTGAAAAAAAAGAAAGTGAGAAAATAGAAGAAAAAGAAAATATAAAGAGATTAAGAGAAACATAAGGGAAAAGGGTATAAAGTTGGATAAAATGTAAAGAAAGGATAGAATGTAAAATATTGTTAAATATTGTTATTTAGTTCATTATCGTTGATAAAGGACAATCTAAGTTTTACTTTAAATACTCTCCTCGAGCTTCGTTGTTTTTAGTGTATTATAAGAGATAGAGTGGGGAAGGGGGAGGGGGTCGGAAAAGAAAAATAAGAAACGTCAAAGGGAAAAGTTGCAAGAAAAAGAAAAAAAAGATAAATAATAAAGAAAATGGGAAAGGAAGAGAGAGAGAGAGAGAGAGAGAGAGAGAGAGAGAGAGAGAGAGAGAGAGAGAGAAAGAGAGAAAGAGAAAAAGTGTATGTGTGCATGTTTAAAAAAAAATGTGCGCGCAAGTACGTCGTTACTCAGCTAGGACCATATAAAGTTCCTTGTACATATACTCGTTTCCATATTTTTTCTATTGTAGCATTATCATGGAAGGAAAGATAACGAGTTTGATAGTATTAACGTTCTAGAAATGTCGATTAAATAAGAGCGTCGTTTCTGCCATTCTGGGAAAATCTCGATAATCGTGTCAATCGCATCTCGGTTACTTTTCCACGGTTCTCATTCGGAAACGTGTGCGTGCACGCGCGCTGTCATCAAACATAAAAAGAAAAAGATAATGAAAAAATTAACGTAAGTACGACTCTTACTTTCTCTCTTGTCGTGCCAATCGATTAATTAAAAAAAAAAAAAGAAAAAAATGATCGTTTCAGGAAAAAAACAAAAAGTTTCATTTCAAGTTCAAAGTTGACAAAATTTCTTACCAAAAATGTCGTTCCAAAAGGCATCTCTTGCATCCACGCAAGAGAGAGAGATAGAGGGATAGAAGGAAGGGTGGTATGAGCGCGTGCGCACTCACGTGAAGGATCTTTAAAAATGTTGACGCACACGTCGACCAAAACACGGCGGATTTTGTCGGCACCCGCCAAGCACGTTCGAAAATGCGCGAGCAAAAGACACAAATGAACAACCAGTGACGACACGACTGCAACTATACGAGACCTGTACCTGTATATATTAAACATTACTATAAATTATTCTATAATTTAAAATGAGGTAATTTAAGGAGGTCTAATTTATGAATACCTTTATATACGATACATTATATGTACCTCGTCGTAGGTTGCCGATCGGTAGGCTGCGCTTCGTGAATCACGTTCGGTGGATAACATTTCAAAAGTGATGAAAGAAAATTATTCAACACAAAAAACAAAACAGAACAAACAAAAGAAAAAACTAATCGTTCGCATAATAATAATAATTAATAATAATTAATAATAATAATAATAATAATATTAATATTAATAATAATAATTTCTAAGATCAAATGAGATCGTGTTTGTACGAATTAGCGACACTTTTGATGAAAGATCGAATTAATTTATGGAATCGATCGGTCGATCGATTGATCGGTTGGTTCGTTCGTTGTTGATTGGTTGGTTTAGTCACTCCCTTTAAATGATGAGGAATGAGAACGGTTGCATAGGTCGAATAATCCAAGTAGGATTTTGCGCACGAGCAACGATCGATCGTTCTCTCTTGGAAATGTCTATAGGTATTATCGTTCCTCCTTCGTCGCTTCTCGCTCGATCGTGCACAAACTCTTGGTAATTTATTGCCATAAAGAAACGCACGTGCTTCACGTAACAAACTAATTATTATTACACCGAGTTCAGCGAACGCTGATGATGGGTACGCTCGGTGTGTCGTGTTTCTTGGAAATAAAGTTAGTTTAAATCGTAGTAAATTAATCTCTATCGAATATTAAATTTCAATTAAACGATAAGTTTTTTTAAACATTTTTAAATCTACGATTGATATAAATATAATATACTACTACGTTTTCATTTTGATCATTCTCTAATCGTTACGCGAATAAAATTTTCACAATCTTTATAATTTATATTAATTTTACATTTTACACGCATACATATATATATACACGACATATCGTTGTTAATAGGTTTGTAGGTAGAAATATTGTAAATCGTAAGATTCTTTTTAGCCAAACAATATATCGTGCTAGAGAACCGACAACAATAAAAAATCATTAATTATCTTGCGATAAAGATGTTACATAAGTAATATACGTATGTATATATAAATACAGGGGTGGATTTAGATATAGTATTTATGGACTATAGCCAAAAACCTTCCTTTCTAATAAAAAAGAAAATAATAAATACAATGAAAAACAATTTATATTAAAAGTGTAAGAAAACAAATAAATTATGTAAAATGTGTCACTGCAATTAACCCAAACTTAAATTAATTTGGTTTAATTAGGCAAACTTTGAAACAGTGTTAATCCAGGGCCCTCAAAGTTAACGATCCGCCTCTGTATAAATACATATGTAGTAATTTATCTAATTATCGGATCCGCCTAGTACATTGGTGAATCATTTTGATTTGAATAAATATATGTATGTATATATATATATATATATACATATTTATATTTAGTTCTCTCTTCCAAATGCAATAATTAATGAATTGTTTTAAAGAAAATAAGAATAAGAAGATGACTAAATCACATAAACAGAATTTTTCTCGCTTATTCGAACTTGTCTTCCAATCATTTACATACAAAAAAATACAATTTCAATTACCGAAGCGTATCCATTGAACTATTTTTACATACATGATACATACATATGTATAATGTATGATAACTAATGTATACTCGATGGAAAGAGAAAGTATTAAATTACACAAGTTCGTTATCGATCGTACGAGTCGTGACGTTATCAAATTATTAATAACAAAGCGTAGAATTTGACGATCAAGTTAAAAGAAAACTCGATAATAATTATTTGGGGAAATTAATAAAACAGAACGAGACAGCGAATTAGAGAGTCCTGTTAAAAAAAAATCTAGTCAAAGCTTACGAAATGCGATAAAACATTGTGTAACAATTCGATTCCCTCCTGCTGAAAGAAAAAAAAAATTAAAGAAAAAAAAAAAGCAAAAAGAATTATAGCATTTAAACAATAAAACAATTTCATCGTCGGAGTTCAAACACGAGATAAAAATTCGCTTGATCCTTGAATGCAATTTGTGTATCGATGATGCGTCTCAACGGTTATTCAGAGTTTAAGAAAAACAAAAAAAAAAAAAAAAAAAAAAAAAAAAAAAGTTTTTTTTATATGCACAAAAAATACTTTACATATATCCTTGGCCTATCTAATATACGCATTTATTATCAAAAAGGAAATGTGTATAATAATATATCTCGACTG